CCTACCCCCAGAAACTCTACTCCTTAACCTAAAATAAAAATAGAAAAAAACTGAAATAAAACATGGAATTCCCTACCTAAACCCCGAATAACGACTATCTCAAATGACTTCTTCAACACGTTGACTGCTACGTTGATCACCTGTGACCGGAGATTGTTTCCTCTATAGGACCACGGTGGTCATCAGTGACCGGGGGGCCTCAAATATTTAGAATATGTAGTTAAAATAAAATGAATATCTTCAACTAAAAATTTTGAACATCATAGCTAACTAGACATTATTTTCAATTTAAAAAAATAATAATAAAGCATAATAAGCATAATACATATAATACTATGCTTAGAATAATGAAAATTTTCTTGTGACTCCCTGAGCAAAACATGTAAATCTGACGTGGCAGTCAACGTGTTCAGAAGACTACCAAGACACAAATCTTACCCACCGATATCATAAACAGGGATGAACCCACGACATGCGAACAGTGGAAAGTTCACTTGACGATGGAGCACATTATCATTCGCTGCAGCAGATACTCCATCGACAGACAATAATTCAACATAAGATGCACTTTGCGCGACAATCTGAGGGACTACAAATCGATTCAGAACTTACTGAACTATTTAAAGCATACCAAATTGTATAATAAACTGTGAACCTAAACATTAAGTCGCTAATAACCCATAAATGTGGTTGATGCGCGACTTTAAACCAATAAAAAAAAAAAAACTTATGTCACAAGGACAAAAATGTATTAATTCAAATGGTTCTTACTTTGATTAAAAATTTGCATTTCATTTCGAGTTATTCTTATTAAAGGGGGAACCCTAATTGATGAGCACTAATTTAAAGAAAGAACGATTAATGAGTAAAAATGAAAGTTTATTCAAGGAGTTATTTAAACATTTGTCAGGTCGTGTGTTTAAAATGTTGTGCGGCGTGCAGCATAGGGGTTGTTCTATTTATCTGAGACAAAAAAATTAAAGAAGGTTCTGTTATCTAGGAAATTGCGCAGAGAGCAAACCTCGATTTATGAAAATAACTGCAAAATTGACAAAATGGTGGCAGATTGAACAAAACATTTCGACAACAAGTTAATATTAATCTACAATATTTTCTAATACTCTTATTTTCTCTAACGTGTACTCCATTTTTTTTAATACTCTTCTAATCTTATTCGTGTTTTGCACATGTTTACAAATTTCAATATAAACAAAAAATATTGATATCCATCAATATTAAGGAAACTAAAGTCTGTTCAATTTTAGAGTAACCTCGCTCTCGGACCGATTTTCGTCCGTTCTGCGCAGTTCCCACTACTACCTACCACTGTGACGCATGCGATTGGTCGTAGCGCTATTTCGGCTAAGCCCAAGAACGACGACAATGTAAACAGTGCATAGAGTGGAGAGAATCTACCCGGTGGTCTAAAAGTATGCGCACCTATTGTGTGCATGTTAACGCAGCGGTTTATGACAGACGAATAGTGGCTAATTGTATGAATTTAGCCGGACAAAATAAAAATATCAATATTTAGGAAACGATTCAAAATCATTTAAATTCTTAAAAGACATATTATAAAGTACCTAATTTCATTAGGCACAAAAAAAAAGAAAAGAGAAAAAGAGTATATGAAAGCGTCACGCCTGGAACAGTAGACGGAGAGCGTAGCAGAGGGCAGACGGTACGAGGGGTTTGGACGTTCTATGTAGCTCAGCTTTAGGCACGTCCCATGCACGAAGCGAGGTTACTCTTAAATTGAACGGACTGTATAAGCCTGAAACGTGTGCCCTATCTCAATATGAACAACCACATGGCTTCCATAGTATTAGAGATCGATCGGAATTCTGCGATCCGTGATTCGGTTATTCCTATGTATCCGCGGACGAGCGTTGCCCGCCGATTTTCTCTTATTTTACGACTAGGGCTCTGCACTCGTTTGGCTTCAGTCGTGAACAAACCTCCAACACATAGTATGTAATACCTTTTCTAATCTATAAATTGTCTCTATCCTCTGTATATACCACGGTCATTTATGAAACCATGACGGTGCACAAAATAACAAATTATTAATTTATAAAAAAATATTCGCACTTTAATTTGTTATTGCAAAGAAAATACGACAGTAATTTGTATAATTCTGGTACGGACGATAAAAAATATAGATATGTGTGTAAAGTTTCAAACCAATTATTAATTAAGTATTACTTACTTTCTAAGATATTATGGAAGTCATTTTTGAAAATATAATTTCAAGATAAACGCCATTAAAGTTTATCCTAGATTTTCTACACTAACAGCTATACATATACTTTCCACGCCGATCAGTGATATCAAGGCCATTTGAAATTCTCTTTTCTTGCTCAAAAATTTCTTGCACAGAACATTATTCACTTCTATGATCGTGTTCCGTGTAATCGTTATAATTCGAAGGAATTCTTCGAAGTTGCAAATTTCGAAGCGCAAGACGCGATAACTCTTACACGGGAGGAAATTTTGTCTCAAATTAATGAAGCAAAAGGATTATGGATGCACTTGGTTTATAAATATATTCAACAATAAAAAATTATTAAACAAATAATTTAAAGTGGTCGTGTCGGTGTTAGACTGAAAAATGGGTAACTGTCTGGTGATTTGAGAAGTGGCCTTTATATTCAAAAGTGTATTTGGGGTGTGTCGAAGTAGGTCCAATTTTCAACCTCCGATTTCAAGGGTCCCCGAGCCACGAGCATTCCACCCACTCCGGAATTTCCGAGATGGTGGAGTGGGGCATGATCGCGACCGGGGAATCGGGCCCACGAGGCAATTGGTCCTAACGGGATTTTGAATTGGCATGTTTGTGTGAGTGTGGCTTTACGACACGTCATTAGGTATTGAGGCAAACTGATGGGCACCAGAAGGGCGTGTAGCTTGCAAAACGTAGCGGTTCAATACCCATAAACACCTTCTGGGCCTCGTCCTCGAGTAAAATGTTAATTAAGCTACAAAAAAAAGAAGCACTCAAAAATAGCTTAGACCGATCGTCCGTGTCATAAAGTCGAAAGGTAAAGTTTTCATGTTTGTCAGGGAACCGTCCATTGTCACGTTCGGTACCGAACAGATCGCTTTCTTTTTATTGTAATATTATAAACCCACATAAAAGCCATTCAACATCAAAACGTACAAAACTGCGATCATTGTCACCGATTTTTTTTAAACTTACAGCATTTGTTAATAACCTCGAAAAACTACACTATGTAAATTTTTCTGTTTTCTGTCTCGAATGTTTACGAATTATTCAACGTTAAAATTTAAAAAAATTGAACAAAGTCAGCCAACGAAAGTCACCACTTTCCTCGTATTATTTCAACTGTATTTAAAGATAATATTTTGTTCTTACATTTATTTTAAAGCTGAAAGAATACTGTTTCATTTGATGTATACAATTTGTTATTAACAAATACAAAAATAACCAATGTTAAAGTCTCAAATACCTATTTAACGCTTGAGACCAGCACTTGAATCAATTCTAAAAAATACTATTCGATTCCATGAACTTTACTTCTGTAAAATATAAAAAAGATACAAGGTTTACAGAACCGTGAGTTTTTTACAGAACCAAGGTTTACAGTGCCGTGAACATAAATATTTTGTTTGACACGCTTCTAGAATTTGTATTTTCATCGTTTAACCGAAATATACGTTATATAATTAAAATATATAAAAATAATTAAATACTCTAGACCGCGGAGTGCAATTTGAAAATCCTACTTGTTTACAACCTTAATTGAATTTCTTCCGACTATCAATAAATGCTGCGTATTTGAAAAAGTCGACGACTATGTACATGACCGTAATTCTCGTGCGCTTTCATGTGGAAAATAACTTCGTAAACTGCGCACAGCATCTTTCAAACGTCTGTAACTTCGTTAATAAATAATTCTGTAATTTCAAATTTCGTTGTAATACAAACATATACTTATCAGACAAGGCAAGAAATCGATACTTTTTTCCCACCCAAGCGAATACCCCCTTAGCACTAACCGTACCGGCACTTTATGTATGTATACCTATCAGAGGTGTACGAGAACCCAAAAATGTCGGGTCGGGTCGGGTCGAAAATTTATCTCGGGATCGGGTCGGGTTCCCGAAAGTATCTCGTGATTCGAGATTGTCGAGATTCTCGAAAATTATCGGAGAACGTTGAAAAACTAGCTTTTCCACACGAAAATATAAAATAAATCATATCTATCACATATTTGCTTACCATTTTCGTTCCATGTTCTATTTCTTATTTCTAATCCCGAAATTCTCGAGAATCCCGAAATTCTCGAGAATCCCAAAATTTTCGAGAATCCCGAAATTCTCGAATTCTGAGATACTTTCGGGACCCGACCCGAGCATCGGGTTCCCGACATATTCGAGTTCTCGCACATCCCTGATACCTATCCTTACCGTAGGCGGTCAAATGACCGGTTATGAAATATGTAATATTTTTCCGAAGGGAATATAGGTGATTGTCAATTGAATATAGGAAACAACGCAGAAAATAGCCTTTAGATAATAATAAAATAAAATGACATATTTGCATTTTTATTTTTAACGGGAAAAAACAGATGCATGGTTTTCAATCAAATTTTAAAACCGGTCATTTGACCGGGCGTGGTACGTTTAGTGTCGACAAAAATTTAAATATGTAGGCAGTATTAACACCTTATCGACGAAAGACTCGATTCGAATACGAATGACGCAGTAACGCGTCAAATAAATATCAAGCACTATTATGTAGGTTTTTTTTACAAATGTAAATATACTTCTTTTCTTATGTTATAATAGTTGATTTATCAGTTTTTCTATTCAAAGAACAATTTTACAGCACATATCTATGCATTTTCACTTACCGTATTAGGTGTAAGTAATCAGCGGAATAGTTCTGTCGATAAGATATTAAAACTTTGTTCAGATATTTCTAACAAAGCAAACGTTACGGAATTCTTCCTGTGCTTCCTTTTTGTTATGTTCTTTGAAAACTACAAACCTTGAATGTCATGGAAGAATGAATATTCTCAATAGAAAATTACAAATTCTGTCGTAATTATTGAAAGTGCTGAAGGTTTAAAGTGAGTATACACTTGAAGTGAAAGTAAGTACAGTTACTCTGAAAGATTGGAGACGGCGTTCAGTTATCTCACGGAACTCCTACTGCACACATCTACATAATGGAGAAGAAAACTATTCTGCTCCCAAACGGACAGTTAATGCCAATAGTGGGCTTTGGTACATGGCAGGTACAATTATTTAACTTATACACGAGCTGTAAACGTTTCTTAGCTTCTGCACTTTTATATATTCTTAACATTATACTACTTTCGAAATGAAACGCAACACGTCAACAATTGGAAATGTTATACAGATATTCGTTCAATTCCGAATAATACAATTGTGGTTTCTGAACACTTTGGAAAAACTTTCATTTGGTTCATATATTCATTTTATGCATTGCTGGAAAATGTTATTTTACTAGTTTGTCTTTTGTGCAATGTCAAAATGTTTACCGTGATAAAATTATTTATTCTTCAAGTGAATAAATTTTAGTTATGAATCTTATGTAAGAACTTTAATTTTCAAATTATTACCGAAATTTGTAAACAGCAATCCTGAAAAACTTTATTATTAACTGTCTAAATGTTGTATTTCATGTACCCTATACCAAAATTTACTTAACTTAAATATCCTTTAGTAGTATGTATTTATGAAACAATACTAAATTTTAGAATAAAATTAAACTTATTTCAAGTCTGCTTATATCTAATTGATTATTTGATACACAGTAAATATCGGTATTTTATATTTATTAAATCAACAGTATTACAAATAAAAATTTATATTTTCTTCGTGCTATTATTTTCGATACTTTTTATTAAAAAGATATAAAAACTATTTTCAGTCTAATTGTACAAAATTATGTTTTAAATAAAGACACAGTACAAATAAAATATTTAATTAATTACAACTCTTTATTAAATACTATTCAATAAAACATTGTTTTTCATATGAAATTCATAGACTGTGTAAACAGTAAATGGAATATGTATTACAATAACTATAGAAGTTGTTAGAGAAAACTTTAAAAAATTGGATGATACTATTAATTTGATTTCTCTGTGGTCCTTTAAAAGGTGCACTAAAGAAAAGAAGTTTTAAAAAAATGTCTACATATATTAAAAATGTTTCATGATACAATCTGTACACTATAAAATTATGTTTGTTACGTACTTATATTAATTAATCAATTTTCCTTAAACCTGTATTTTAAGAATTTTTAAAATATGTGGGTTAACAACAAAAAGAAGAGTGGTTAGCCACTATGTAAGTCCGCAAGCTTACACAGGGTGGGTCACGAGAAATAAAACATCTGAATATCTCTGTTAAAATTGAAGATAAAAGAAAATGTCAAAAAGAAACATTATACTGTGACCTTGAAATGACCTTGATTTTCACGTGTAACATTTAGTTTCTTAATATCACATGTACCGTTAACGGAAAAGTGATCTTCGAATATACACAAACATGATTATCAACAAACTACAGGTACAGTGACTCCCACTAATATTCAGACACTCTTTATAATATTCGGACACTCTTTAGAACAGTATAATTTTTTTTAAATTCGACCTAACGACTTCAATTTTTTTTTGTTTTTTTTTTTAGAAATTAGGATTAGTATACTAGATGACGTGTAAAAAAAGTTTTAAAAAATTGCAATTTGCGGAAATCGCGTAGAAAATTGTAAAGGTCACTGTTTACAACTTTTTTACCTTGGTAATGATGCAGCTAGTTAATATTCATCGTTTTTGTGACTATAGCAGCCTTTTATTTTAAGCAATACGTGAATGTTCATTTTGCAACGAAACCTCGTAACAGTGGGCAATTTTCAAGCAAGGTAAATTAGTACTTGGAATCGACATAAATTATTAATATCAATCTCGTTAAATAGAGGAATGTTTCTACTTTCAAAGTCACATTTGGTTTTTTGTTATATGCAAATTCAATTCAGTGTATTACTTCAAATATCGGAGCATGAGGTGTGGGGTAATTCCAGCCAGCTTTTAACATTGCGAAGAATTAAAAGAGGTAGTTTATATTTACATTACATTTGCAATAGTTATCATTTTCATCATATTTACATTATTTTAAGTTATGTTTTTCCAAATGAAAATATTTCTAGGTTCTAATGTTGCTACAAAAATTGAAAGAAAACCAAGAAATTCAGTTAACAAAAAAAGTGAAACCACTGCTAACTACAAAAAATAATAAAACTTTTTTTTATTAATTTAACAGTTTTCTTACCTCTTTTGTAAAGAAAAATCATGGCCACTAGTGGGGTAATTCCAGCCAAATGACCTTTTTTCGTTGTATGTTTCCAATTGTATTACGACGTAAATTTATGCCTTCTCGGTTATACTAATACAAACGAGACACTTCAAGCTATGAATTAATATCAAAAAATTAACAAATGTGTAACTTGTTCAAATTTTATAGCATTTCTTGCTTATGTAGCCGGAATTACCCCACTCTCCCCTTCAGACTGTTTTTGCCATCGAATTATTGCAGTACAATATACACGAAAACATAGAAAATATATTTTTCTATAATCTTTATTAAATTTACTGCATATCATATACCAAATTTAATGATAACATTATCATAACAAATTTACTTTCCCCTCTTCCTGCAAATATAAAAGAAAAGCAGTGCAGCAGAAACTTTGCGCAGAAAAACATAAAATTACGTTATTAATCATTTATTTGCGTAAAATTATCTGTAATAAAATACCTCCTGCAGGAGGATAAGATAAGATTGAGGAAAAATCATCGAAAAACATAAACATTACTGATGAAAATGAAATAGAACTTCCAAATATTTCAAGGGATGAGAATATTGACTTTGCATAGTAACTTTGAGTCAATTAAAAAGAAAAGGGCGATTGTTTTGAATTATAATACAGAGAGTGACACTGAATAAAATTTATTTTGGTTTACTGAATTATCATTTCCTTTTTTTTTTTTTTTGTCAATCTATGTGAAATATATATTTTTATAACTTATACCGGCTTTTCTTTCTAGTATTTTTGTTTTCTACTAGCAGACTCTATTTACGCGATTTTATTCCATATAAACAAAAAAACTGCGTGAAACGAGTACAGTAATGTCTCTACAAGTGTCAGCCAGTTTGGATTCTACAAGTGTCAGTATAGATGGTCCTACGCCTAGGCTGCGTCATTGCTGCGCCTATGTTATCTCGCTCGCAGTCAGTCAAGCGTGTAACGCTACACAATTCATAATAGAAAAATATAATTTCTTTAATTTTACTTTTTTTCATCTGAAATTTTTTTTAACATGTTGGTGAGATTTTTCTGATGAAAATGTAGGGCCGATTCTACAATTGTCAGTCAAATGTAGGGCCGATTCTACAATTGTCAGTCAAATGTAGGGCCGATTCTACAAGTGTCAGTCAAATGTAGGGCCGATTCTCCAACTGGCAGTCAAACGGTAGGGGCCAACTCTATGTAATGTAATACAAGGAGTCTGTTTTATCTCAATACAGTGAAATATCTGGCGTGACAGTGAACGTGTTAATAAGTAAATGTTGTTCAGATTATGTCGTGTTTGATGTCATTTTCATCAGAAAAATCTCATCAATATGTTAAGAAAAATTTCGGGATAAAAAAACGTAAAATTAAAAAAGTTGGTATTTAAATCGCTTGGTTGCCTCAACTCACGTTTCATCCTTATCTTTTATTCGCCGTCCTTGTCTACGTTCGGCAAACTACAAAGGCGGGCGCGAGGCTCGAAAACGTAGTCCCTGACTCTACAAGTGTCTGGTTTAGCTTCCTTGCGGACTGACACTTGTGGAGACATTACTGTACTCCGCGTAAATCGAAGGACAGGTGTGATGTATCAACTTATCGGTATACGTTTAACAATGTCTTACTCAAAAAAAGAGAAGATCGATCTGATTTTCATTTATCACGAAAAGCATCAGTTCCTTAGAGAAGTTATCCGTCTGTACAAAGACCGATTCGCTGACTGCAGCAGTCCATACCTTTCTAGTTATTTATGTACATTTAATGAAAAAGATCAATAAAACTGGTAGTGTTGAAAGCAAAAAAAAAACCTTTAAAAGTGAGAAGTGTAACACATGAAGCAAATGCGGTTAATGTTCTTGTTGCAATAAATATAAATCCTTAAGTTAGCAGTAGACAGCTCTTTCAAGAAAGTAATGTTAGCCAATCAAGTATTGTGCGAATACTTCATTCACATAAATTCCACTCACAAAATAATTAGGTCTTGTGTATCTATTTCATCGAAAACGGTCAAAAGATTATTTCAAAGTCTTGCAGAACGTGTAAATGCCTGTGTTACTACTGAAGGTCACCATGTCTAAGGGGTAATTTACTTCAATAAACTGAATGCATATTTTAAAGTTGGCATTGCTTTATCCTACATTTTGTTAGATTAAGGTCATAATATCCTATATGGTTGAATTCGTCTTGACATCAACTACTACGCTATGAAATGAAAAATATATGGAGGCATTTAAGGGAGTATTCTAGTCTAGAGCATCAGTTTTTAGATATTTTTTGAGATTTTTTTACAAAGAAACCATAAGACTTTTTGCAGATATGTTTATTCATGTTTTTGAAAGTTAGTTATAATCAAATAATTATGATTTTTTGAAAAGTCTAGACTAGAATACCTCCTTAAGAAACCATTGATGAGCTTTAAAAAACCTTGAAGATAACGTCAATCAGAAGATTTGTTTATATCATGATATTTGTCCCCTTGAACAGCTCCTCTTTGACATTTCCTTCTATCTTCAATCCTAACAGAAATATTTAGGTATTCTGTTTCCCACGACTTATCTTGTATAGGCTAATTATATTTTTAATTATATTTTGCACACATCGCATCCCGCAATGCAACGAAACCAATGAAAAGAAAAAAAGAAAATTCGCAGAAACATTGCCCCAATAAAATTATTAAATTTTGAGACAGAGACTATTCTTAGATACCCAATATTGAAATGTTTTTAAGAAATCTGCATCCTTTGTAGAGTATGTGTACAGAATTGTGTCTTATAAGGGAAGATGTCAAGATGTAACATCCACTTTCCAATGAGATTTTGCACAATGATAGAACTTAAAATACTGAAGCTCATGATTTGGTTTTAGCTATACATGGTTAATAGTTTACGATATATTTACTGTTAAAGTTTTGGAAAGGGC